TTAACATGTCATTTTTGATTTCCGCAATACGCTCAACCCAGCATACAACTTGATGATAATCTGCATAAAATCACATTCTGAGTCGATTTATGCATGTCCGTCCGTCTGTCCATGTATTTTTGAGAAAGTACAGTACGCATTTATTACCCGATCTAGATGAAATTTTGCACAAATCATTTGTTTGGCCCAAGGACGAACCCTATTGAAATTGGAGATAATCGGTAAAAATTTAGATATAGCTCCCAATATCTGCCCGAATAGTATGCAATTTTCCACATACAACCAAATTAGGCCTGGGAATAAGTATGCCAAATTTGATCGAAATCAGTTCAGATATAGCTATAGCTCCCATATATATTGTTAATCCGATTTGTTATTTTAGTCCTCCGCAGCCGTAATATGCACTCTGTAACAACAATATTTGGGGAAATATATCAAATACAGCTTAGAAATACCTTTGCTAAATTTTATCGATATTGGTTCGGATTTGGATATATCTCCCATATATAACATCGTCCGATTTACCTTTTATTGTGCACCAAACGTAAAATATTTGCCAAAATGGGATGAAATTTGGCACTCACGATCAAATTGAGTCAAGAAACTAGTATCTCAAATTTGGTGAAGATCGGTTCAGATATAGCTATAGCTCCTATATATATTGTTCATCCGATTTTTTATATTTGTTACCCACAGCCGTAATATGCACTCCGTAACAACAATATTCAGGGAAATAAATCAAATACTGCTCAGAATATCTTTGCCAAATTTTATCGAGATCGGTTCAGATTTGGATATAGCTCCCATATATATTATTATCCGATTTCAAATTAATTGTGCACCAAATTGGCAATGCAAGTCCGAATTAAAAAGATACAAATGCTTCGGCACATTTATTACTTTGAACTTTAAATTATAATTATAACCATAGCGTGCATGATTGAATTCTCCCATAAAAACTTTTAAATGTTATGTGGAGCTCTACTAAATTAGCAAAGTAGTGTAGGGTATCATAAAGTCGACCCGCCCGACTTTGAGACTTTCTTTGCTGGTTTTATTTTATATATCCCAAAATATAAGAAAAAGGGTTTTGTTCGTATTACGAACTTTATTCGTCTTCAGCTCTATCAAAAAGAAAGATGCAACATAATGTTATGTATTACAACAACAAATTGAAGATATATTGATTTGCAATATATCTTCTTTTGAGCGCAAAAGAGTAGCATAATGGGCCTAACTATTTTGTCTGACTACAGTTAGTCAAAGATACATGCATGAGGATTACATCCAATCAAAGAAGTTGGCGGATGGTCTTTTACATAAAGAATGTCAGCAGGAAGTTTTCCTTCAATAGAAGATCTGAGGAGAGCATTCTGTCTGTTGAATACTTTCAAAACATGTTCTATCTTAAGAAGTCGTCTTTTATGTTAATCAGCAAGTTCTACCTACCCTGTATCGACCTACAGCACTTCAATTGTAGAAGAGTGTTGATTTGAATCGCTAGTACGGTCCATATAATTTAATGTTGAGGTCTGTTTCATGGAAATGTCAAATTAATGTTTCAATTTTGTCTTACAATTGTAGCGGTGTTTGCTTTAAATGCGTTAAACCGTCCAATTGGCCGGTTCCGAACGTAAAATAAAATGTCCACTGAACTAGCCTCTCAATAAGTCTATTGTTACGTGAGATATTTGGTTGAAATCATGCAAGTTAAGCTTTTGCATTTTGGGCAAAAAAATTGGATATCATCTCACGGTAGCGCTCACCATTTCCAGTTGCGTACATCTTTGAAGAAGTACGGTCCAATTATGCCGTACAAAAGTGTGACTTTTTTTGCTTGCATTTATAGCGTTTGCAATAATTCTGGCTCAAATCGAAAATTTTGAGCCAAAAATGAGCTGATCAAGCTTGCGATGAACTTTCCTAGCAAAGCAAGCATTTTTATAATTAAATTCAATGATTTGCTAGCTTAGTTCGTTTATAAGACGATTCATGGTTCAATTATAGACCAAACTTGAAGATGCTTTACAGTGAAACAAAACACAAAACGTGCTTGAAATGTGGCCAACATTTTCTATCGGATTTATTTAAAATTCGCTATTTACAGTTCGGAGTTGGTTCTACCTCCAGTGGCATAGGGTGGTTTATATAGGTTCAATTATTCTCATATATACTCCATAAAACGATACCTTCGGATGTATTTAACACAACCGGTGTCAGATCATTGTCGATAATGGTCCATATTTTTCACGACGTTAGGGTTATTGTAAACCGTGCGCATGAATGGAAAATACTCTTCTAACTTTAGTACACCTCCAGCAATTCTTCTACAGGGTGAGATAGAAAAACCGCAACAAAGTAAAACGCCATAATTTTTACATTTTTTTAAATTTTATTGGATGAAAACAAAAATGTCGGAAATAGCATCCATTTTAAGAATAAGTTTAAATTTGTTCGAATTGGTCATCTTTGGCACGAATCATGGCCTTCAAACGGCCAATGAAACCGTTACACGCTGCCCGAATGTTGTTCTGCGGTATTTTGGCCCATTACCGGTGAAGCGCTTGCTTGAGGTGATTGACACTTTAGTATTTTTTAGTGCTAACCTTGCTTTCCAAAATATTCCACACACAATAGTCCAACGGATTGGTATCCGGAGATTTTGGTAGCCATTGAGCGCTGGAATGAAGCGAGGAACCTCATTTTGTAACCATTCTTGGGTAGCGCGTGCTGAGCGCGATGGTGCTGAGTCCTGCTGAAATATCCAAGGTCTGCGGCAAAAATGTTTGCGTACCCAAGGCTTTAATACACCCTCCAGAATATTTTCGCGACGCTTGAGTTCTGGTGGCCAACCGAAGGTGATCATTTTCAGCTGACCTCTTTCACAAGTAAACACGATCATTTTGTTTGTTTGCAAACTGCTGGACAACCAAATTCGGCAGTTCACCACTTTCGGCGAAGTAACTCTTTAGCTCTTTTGAGTCTATTTTCTTTCTGTTGCGGTGTAAGTTCTTGGACTTTTTGCAATTTCAATGGCTTTACCCCGAACTCATTTTTCAATATTTGCCAAATGGAATATTGCGATATTTTCAGCTCACGAGCCATTTTTCGGCCACTGCGACGCGGGTTTCGATCAAGTCGCTTCTTTACTTTTCGAACCATTTCTGCTGATGTTGCTGTGTCCACTTCCTTGACTTCGGGCTACGCTTCCAGTATCACGGAAACGAGCGATGGTACGAGACACAAAAGATTTATTCACATTTAAATGCTGGAGTGCTCTAACGATAGCCACTTGTGGTTTTCCAGCCGAATATAAAGAAATCACACTATCATGCTCGAATTCCATCACGAGTATTTTTTTTTTTTTTTGAAAATTCTCACGAGAATGCTTTCGCACGCTTGTAAACAATATAATGAGCTGTCACTGGAATAATTTTAACAGCTGTCGGACGAGTGGCTAAGAAATGACATCAGTCTGAAGTTGGTTGCAGTTTCTTCATCTCACCCTGTAAATTGCCTGACTACAGTCTTTTACCTTGAAGACAGTTCCCGGATAGTCTTCTACATGTGTACAGGAGGAATGAAGACATAGAAGATCTGAGGAGGGGTTTCTTTCTTCGACCTCCGGCAAATGTTCTATCTCAAGGAGATTTCAGATCATCTTCTATGTTAATATTAATGCGACATGTGAAATCTTCTAAATTGTGTACACCTTCATCAGTTGTTCTATTTGTAAAAGGGCTTACATCCATTGAAAACGTCCTGATGTTCTTCCTTTTGTGGAATAACATTTAAAATTCATTTAACTGGCCAAGGAATCCACTAGGTTTTCTATGTAGGCCTAGAATATGTTTATAATGTCAGCTATCTATAGAAGCCTTCCGAAGTCCTGCAAAAATCTGCTGTCTATTGTAGACTCGCTACTGTATAGATTTCCTTCTGACAGTCCCTTGGATATGCCATCAGTTGGTCCTGTTATATATTCTACACCACATAGTGGTAAGGATATTATGTCTTTGCGCATTTGTTTGTAACGAGATAGACCCATAGTTACTTTTTAGGATCTTCATAGAATCACGTTCTGAGTCGATTTATGCATGTCAGTCATTCTATGTATCCTTGTGAAAAAATGCAGGTCGCATTTATTATCCGATTGAGATTTTGCAAACATTATTTGTTTGACCCAAGGACGAACCCTTTTGAAATTGGTGATAATCGGATCGGATTTAACCGATCTCGGGTTAATTCTCCACCAAATGGCAAATATCAGCCCAAATGACCTGAATTTTGGAACATCTGGCCGAACTTCAGTCTAGAAGCAAATACTTCGAAGTCGGAGAAAATCGGTTCAAATATAGTTATACCTTCCATATATATGTTTAATCCGATTTGGGGTTTTAAGTCCCTCAAATGCGTAATGTGCACTACACAAGAATGATATTTGGAACCGGTTATCAGATACTGTTCGAAAATACCTCTGTCAAATTTTATAGAGATCGGTTCAGATTAGGAGATAGATCCCATATGTATCTACAACAAATGGCCAATATCAGTCCAAAAATTCTGCATTTTGGTACATCCGACCGAACTCCCTGAACTCTGAGACCAAATTATAACTGCTCTAAAGCCAAATGTTGATAGGTGTTGTGATATACTTCAAATAAACTCCTTTGTTACGGGAGCTCTACTAAATATGCATAGTGGTGTAGGGTATCATATAGTCGGCCCCATCCGACATTTGGTCTACTGGTCATAGATGGGTCTCGTCTTTTTTGTTTTTATTTACCTCGAAGCATGGTAACCCTGAAATGATGCTCCAACGACTGCGACGTTGTTCTCAAATGTATCGTTTGCTTTGCTATTGTTGTTTTTGTTTGTATTGTACCCGACGTCGTTGTTGTCGTCGCCGTCGTCTTCGTCATTTTGTATCTAACCAACCAACCAACTAACAAAACACGGGCTTTGCACCCAACAGTCTCGTTGGTGCTCATTCAGTTCTTATTTGTAAGCGTAACGTTCAAGTCGTCGTTCTCCAAACGAGTAGCACCGTTAACATTTGTCGTGTGCGTGCGTTCGTTTGTTCGTGTGTGTTTGTTTGTGTTGCATTCTCATTTGTATTTTGGTTATTATTACTACATTGGTGTCGTCGTCGTTCTCTCTCTCTGTGTGAATTTTATATAGAAAGAATTTCTAATGGTGTTGTTGTTGTTGTTTTTGGTGCTACTACACAACAAATAAACAACAAACAAAGAAGAAAAAAAAAAGAAACAAAGATGTGGAGGAAATAGAATTTTGTTCTCCCACAAAAATAAAATTTGAAGCAAAAAAAAAGAATTTTGAAAAAAAAAAACACAAATTTTTGGAAACCAATTTTTGTGAAAGAAAACGGAAAGGCTTTGCCATTTTGGTGATATGAATGTGATTTTTGTGCGGAATATCCTGTAGGTTTTTGATGACTGTGTGACGGATATAGTCTCCCCAGCAGATACAGAATCCATTACCCAAGAGAAAAAAAAACAGAGGCAGGATTTGAGAGTAAATAAATGGAACGTAACACAAACAACGAATTGCATGACGTTTCAATGGAATAAGAAATGTCAAAATTTTGCTGGCATTACTAAAATAGAAGATGAAATAAAAAGTAATTTTGTTTTAAAAGTGCAAAAGAAATCTGTAATTTTGTAGTGAAACAAAAATTATTAGCTATTGAAAAATAGTCTTTATTGCTGTTGTCGGTCTTAACGTTGGGCGCTACCGTTGCCACAATAACATAAATTTCATTCACTCTGCTCTGCTCTTTGCCAATCAGAGATAGAGAGAAACTAGAATTTTAATATAAACAAATTTTGTTCGAAAACAAATCTAGTGGAACCAAAATAAATTACCAATAAATGAAATAAAAAAAATAATGCATACATAATTGTTAAAATCGATATATAGTGAATATATATTTATGTAGCTGGTTTTTTAAAGTTAATATCAAAATAGAAAAAAAGATAAATTACAAAATAAATTTGAAATTCTTTGTGCTTCAAATACGCATATCGACCATAAAATAATATTAAATAAGTGATTTAATAACAAATAAAATAACAACAAAAAAGGTACCCAAAGTTACACATTTTGTACAGAGGCCAGTTAACAAACACTCCTCCAACTCCCCCTCTCCATTTGGATGCTCTGAATTTCTTTCAACCCAGCAGTCGGAAGCAGAAAAAGGTAAGCCCACAGAAAAAAAAAACGGTAGAAACAGATGCATTAACCCGAATAAGGTCAATACTTCTTCCTAACCACCACCACCACCATCATCACTGCAATCAACATGAATGAGGTGCGCCGAAAATCCACCCACCATCCATAGCATTGCCAGTAGCTGGCATTTCGGTTTGACCCAACTCCAATACCCCTTTTACAGCTGTTTTCTCAGCTGAATTCTCTTCATTTGTTTAACATTTCTGGTTGCCAGCGAAGTCTGTCATCTGTCAAAATTGAATTGTGTGTGCTTGTTTTTCAAATCAACAGAACCAGTATTTGTTGAATTTTCAATTTTGAATAAAAGCGGAAACCATGAAAAAAAGTTATATAATTTTTGCAAAAACATTTAGGAGAATATAATTCAAAGGCCCCGTTAAAAAAATATTAGAAACCATATAAATATAAACAAGTGAAAAAGGCAATTAAATCCGACCGAAAAAATCATTCTCCATTCGGAAAGTAACAATCAAGTGTATATATTTGCAATACCAAATTTCAAAAATCCGTTATTTCGGTCTATACTCCAAATTCAAGTTTTTAAGCCAGTTCGTTAAGAAACAAGTGAAAAGCTATAAGTTCGGCCGGGCCGATCATTGAATATCCTCCACCATTTGGAATGATTTTTGTAATTTTTTTTTTAAAAATAAAATCTTTTAAAAATTTTGTTAAAATCTTAAAAATACCGAATGTAGCCGTTATATAAAGGTCTATACGACGACATGGACCTGCATAGGCAACTTTTGTCATAAACCATTACAATATTCAAATGCCAACTTGAGTAAAAAAGTTCGGTGAATAATGTAGCTAAAATTATCAAAATTCCGAATATAGGGAGGTACCGTTATATGTATCAAAACGTGGACCTACATCTTCCTTTTTCAATAACAAAAGTCCTGCAGATATAATATACATTTTACTTAATTTCGTTTGGAAGCTAGAGTGATTTCCGCAGACGGATAGACGGGATATACGAAGCCTTGGACCTCTTAGATTAATTTTCTGAAATAGGAAGTGGTATCCATTACGAACTCCAAATAATAAATTACAAACAATTCCAATAAAAAATTGGCATAAATCATCAAATTAACGAATGTCGGGAGGTACATATGGGGGACAATACCTGAACTTGAAACTATATTTTCAATACTTTGAAATTGATATATCCTACACATAACCTGTAAATATACAACAAAATTTGTTCAAAAATATTACAAAAGATATATACCTAAATACCTTAAATACGGTACAGCTTTATGGGGGCTATTTCAAAATGCGGACCCATATTTGCCTTTTTGTCATACCAACAATTCTACGGACGTTAAATACATCTGAGCCAAATTTTATCAACCTACTTCATTTCATATGGTAGCTAGATTCGAAGGGCCGACAGACAGACAGACATAGCTATTATTTGATGATTTTAGGCTGAAGAATAAATGCTCTTTATGGGGTCGAGTAGTCACTAACAGAATGAAAAACTTAAAATATTCTCCATACTTGAGGAGAATAAAAAAAAAACAGAAATCCGACCAACTCATTAAATGTTCATTTTGGAATCTCACGGTCGAGCACTAAAATCCAAAATAAAAGTAAAAAGCAGTAAGTTTGGTCCAGTCGAACTTTGAATACCCTCCACTATATGGAACGGATTTGGAACTTTAAAAAAAAAAATAAATAAATAAAATCCGTTAAAAATTTTGTTAAAATATATACGAAGACGTGGACCTGCATAGGCAACTTTCTTCATAAGATATTACAATCTTCAAATACGAAACTTGTAAGAAAATCGGGCGAATAATGTAGCTAAAATCATCAAAATACCAAATATTGGGAGGTACCGTTATACGTGGACTATATGAAGACGTGGGCTGCATAGACAATTTTCTGTCACAAGCTATAGTACCTATTAAAAACTAACCATACGAAATTTGAAACAAATCCTGTGGATAATGTCGCTGAAACTTCTTCAAAATACCGAATATAGTGAGGTAGAGTTAGTTAATTTACAGGAAATTCGGATTAAAATTCTGACGAAAATACTCAACAAATTTAAATCTGTCGGTACAGTCATATGGGGGTAATATATAACATATGACCCATTTTCAATACCAAAAGTCCTGCTGACCTAACACACATCTAAGTAAAATTTTATCAACCTAATACCTTCGGAGGCTAGAGTGATTTCCATAGACGGCCAGAAATTTGTCGGGTTCAAAATTTATATTTCTAGGTGTTACAAACGGAATGAGAAATTTATATACCCTCCATACCATGGTGGAGGATATGAAAATTATAAATAAGATTAATTAATCTTAAATTACAGATAGCTCCCTGCCAAGAGACTTCGGGGGTAAGCGCATAGCAGAGTTGTGGAAGCGATCAAGCACCTATGAAAAATTTCTCCTATATATTTAGGGTAGACGGTTCAACTGCAGAGAATATTGGCAGAGATGCAGGGAATGCAATTAAGTTGAAACGAGTTGTGGGTAGAAATACCGAACATAGGCAGGATGTATGCTGGTATCAAACAGGTCGCCTTTTTTTCTGATATAATACCTGTCATGACAATACCTCGACCTTTCTTTCAGAGGGTCAAATAAAGAATAAAAGGACTTTTGAAATGGATAGTGATGTTGTGTCGAAGACTAATGAGTCCCAACAAAAATAATGGTTGATAATACCTATTTTTTACCAACATTTACAAGGACAAGTATTTATTCTTTGGTCAGTAAAAATCGACAAATAAGTAGAATACATACATTTTTGCCTTTATGCTGAATTTATATATCATTAAACCCTCAGTCATATGGCTACAGAGGGTATATATCATTTGATACGGTCAAAACGTGCCTAGTCGAAGTAACGGTTTTAGACCCTAGGTCTCTTTGGACCAAATCCATTTCAGAACATTTGGAGTCAATCTAGCGATGTCCGACCGTCCGTCTGTCTGTCTGGCTGGTGCGCACTATAACTCTCGAAGGGAGTATCCGATTTGGTCCAAACTTGGTACATCGTAATATTTTTTTTTTCCAAACTTAGATCGAGCTTGGAAATGGGCAATATCGTTCCACTCCTTCTATCACCTCCCCCACAAAAGGTAGAAATTTCCAAAAAATATATTTTTTTCACAGAAAGAGTGCTAGGACAGGTGTGACAATATGGGTCCACTCCATCAAGTACCTCCCCCACAAATGATAAAAATTTTGAATAATTATAACTCTCATAAAATTTGATACAAGAGTCCGATTGTCTTCAAATTTTACAAAGCCCAATATGTATATGAACCCAAGCTCTGGTGTTGAGATGGAATATATCGGTCCACTCCTTCTGGTACCTCCCCACAAAGGGTCAAAATTTTTAATAATTACAACTCTGATAAAATGTGATGTAAGAGTCCGATTGTCTTCAAATTTCACAGAAAGAGAAAGGATAATCCAATTTTGCTCCAACTTTGCAAATTTGCGCCAGTGCTAGCTCAGATGTGAAAATGGACAATATCGATCGACTTAATCAAGGACCTTCCCCATAAATGGTCAAAATTTTGAATAATTACAACTCTCATAAAATGTGATGTAAGAATCCAATTGTCTTCAAATTTCACACATTGCAATATTTTTATCAACTCTTTCTTGCACCCCCCCCCCCCCCCCCCCCACAAAAATAGAAATTAAAAAAAAAAAAATCTGCATAGAAATAGAAACGATAATCCGATTTTGCTCCAACTTTGCAAGTATTAATATTTGCGGTAGTGCTAGGTCAATTGCGAAAATGGAAAATATCGGTCCCCCCATGAAGTACCTCCCCCACAAACGGTAAAAAATTTAAATAATTATAAATCTAATAAGATGTGAAGTAAGAGCCCGATTGTCTTCAAAATTTTCACATACCAATTTTTTTATTAACCCAAGGTCAGGATATATCGGCCCACTCCTTCTGGTATCTCCCACACAATGGGTCAAAAAATTGAATGTCCATGGAGATCATAAAACGCGAAATTTACATCTGTTTCTATTCACACTTGGTACATCTGAATATTTTCATCAAGACAAGATCTATTATGAAGATGGTATAGATCGGACCATTCCTTCTGGTACCTCCCCCACAAAAGGCCGAAATTTTGAGTATCCATGAAGCTCATAAAAAGCGAAATTACATTTCAATATTTCCATCAGCACAACATCTATATATATAAATGTAAGTTGTGTTAGTTACTACGCTTATAACTCAAGATCCGCTGATCTGATTTTAACGATTCATACAAATTTGGAATTGTCTGTTTTCCGAAAAGGATAATATTCAAAAAAATCGCGTAAAAATGTGATATATTAACATTTTCATTTTGACTTTTCAAATGTACAATAGTAATGTTTTATTTTGCATGATTTTTTTCCATTTTGACTTACTTTTTTCTAATGTACATTTGTAGTGTTTTTTTATATTTTTTTTAATTCGAATATTAAAAACAATTTATTTAATTGACTTGATTTCTTGAGAACTGAAATTGATGGCGGGTTGCATGGAATTCAGTCAGATGATATCGAAATAACTTAACGCAGTTAGACCAAAGTTAAAAGATAATTACTTTTTCAAAATCGCTAAAAAAATACGAAAAAAGAGATCTCATGGCAAAAATTCTCAAATCGGGAAAAATCGAAAAAAATTCAATGGAAATTGACTAGATATGGAAATGAGAACTTAAAATGCAAAATTCATTGGGACTGCAACCAGTGAAATACCGAATATGAAGAGCACTGTTATATGCGAACTATACAAAATAGTGGAGCAAATTGAAAATTTAGAAAGAAAAGGATTCATATCCTCGGGAAATTCTTCCGATACCTTAAAAGTAACCTTAACTCCCATGTAACGTTATACGGTGATTATGCGCTATAATCAGTAATTACACTGCGGGAAATTACACTTGGAAAATTGTTTGGTTGGTACATAAAAATCCCAAAAAGGGG